CCCTACAAAGCTGAGGGAGCACATTTCACAGCAGACCAAAACATGTTCCCACTCTCGTGTTTTGGCCTCAGCACTATCTTATACAGAGCGTGCCTGTAGAATACGAGTAGCCATTTTCAGTCAAAGGTGGGAGTAGGGACGGCATCTGGCTGTGATGATACATGCTGCAATTGTCATCCTCCACCAGGTGACAGCTGAGGCAGGTGGATAAACAGAATCCCAAAATGGGGAATGAACATGTTTACAGCGTACAGATGGTGTCATGCTGTGTATGTGTAGGGTAGTGGGCATTAGCAGCATGTGGCTGGTATAAATTTAGCCTGTGGCAGCCAGCAATTACAGAGGGGCTGGGAAATTAAACTATTTTTTCTTTAGGAGACTTAAATTTCCTGAATAGAAGAGGGGAAGGGGAAGGGTGGAAAATCAGAAGCTCTGCCGTGTGTGTTTGTGTACTGTGTATGTTTTCCTGTGTGTGCATAGCGCATAGCGTTTTTGTGCGCTCTGGTTTATGTCACGGTGTTACGTTGTCCCAGAAGCGGTTTAGTCATGCTGGCCACATGACCCGGAAAGCTTTCTGTTGACAAATTCTGGCTCCCTGAAAGTGAGATGAGCGCCGCAACCCCATAGTCGTCTTTGACTGGACTTAATCATCCAGGTGTCCTTTACCTTTTTACCTTTACCTTATGTGTGCATAGTAGAGCATGGTGTAATGGTACAGATATGCTGCTATTTCCATGTTTGTATTTCAAAACCACAGGGAGGTAATTCCGTAATTTTTGCAGCGATGCTATTAATACCTTTCATTTCTTAGCAAACCTTTTGAATTCTGATTCTGCTAATAAGAAAGTGTGTAGATCTGTGTGGACCCTCAGGAGTCATGTAACACTTCTCACATGAGCAAACCTATCATGTGCTGTCCTGGTTTTATTTATAGTTAATGAGGCTTCACTGGTCTATGTGATAGCATGTATATTTTTCTATGTGGTTGTTAATGCGTCTTTGTATGCACACATGTTGTGGAATATATATCTCTGTGAGATGCCACACCTTGCAATGCTTGCTGAGTTTACACCCCAGCTGTGCATATTGCTTTGTTTGTTTATTACTTTGAACCCAGCTGGGCTCTGGGAGCTACAGCTGCCTCAATATGTTCTACATTGCTATGTGTGCATGTGCTGCAGTGTCAGTTGCTGGTGTTTACATGTGCAGGCATGCATTGCCAAGTAAGTCTCACTCTCTGTGCACTTACACACAAAGCTATGGCCCTGTGTCAACATGCAAGGGACACCGGGAGACGTTTATTTATAAGACAAGCTTGGATTGGTAGGTTCCTGAGTTATATCACTAAATCCCTTCCAGGCACTGTTAGTTCCACTGCAGCGAGCTCTTAAAGCCAGCCTTTGCAACAAGCTCAGAAGCTCCTGTAACCATTTCAGCACAGAACCCAGAAGGCTGGAGCCTTATGCCGGCCAGATCTGCCAAATGAAAGGCCCTCCCTCCACCCCACCCCACCCCCAAGAAAATAAATAGTGCTCCTGCTGCAAATATAAAGTAATAGTGCTTTGCATTAATGGATGATATTCCTTGCCAGCTCAGAGTATTTGTCATTACCTATTTGGTCAAGAGGTGCTGCATTTATTGAACCAAATAAATGGCTCAATAAATGGACCCTTCATCACCTGCATAGTACCTTAGGATTGTTCCCAAGAATGCAGTCAGCAGTCAGTGTTACAGGCTGATTGCCCCTGCTCTAGAATCTGCATGGGTTGGCATTTCCTTTCCAAGCACTGCTTCTGTCCAATACAGCCCTCACTTTTTCAGCCAGGATCTCTGCCTGTGCTGTTTTGCCATTTCTAAAGAGGCTCATGAAAAAAAGTTGATTTCTGGGTTGAACAGAATGATTTAAGCAACCATCACATTCCTTCAGAAAGAGGCTTCACTTGCCTTTAAAAAAGTATCTTGTTCCACATTTTCAGGTGAAATAATGGAGACATGGAGTTGTTTCACCACACACAGGGAGAACTATCACCGTCTCTGATACATCATATGGCCTCTTTAGCCTGATACAGCTTTCAGGAAGTGGTTTTAATGGACATAGTAAGCACTGTTCTTGAACATGTTATGGCATTTGTCCAGACCGATTCCTTGAGGAAAATCTATACCCCCAAAATTAACTGAGAATGTCTTAATCACAACAAAAATAATTGTGCTAATCTAGACTCAAATGATGTCTGCAAAGTATTTCGTATAAACATTAACACAAACAGTAATTAGACCCTGCAGAGGTCAGGGATTCTGTAAGTTTCAGAGCTATGCAGAAGACATTTTTAGCAATTGTAGCTGCCCTGCTACAGTTTTGCAAGAATTAGGAACCTCCAGACTGTCACCATTTTCCAGTAAAGATTCAGGTGCACACCGGAACATTAGGTTTGTGCAGTTAAAGTAGATTAAAGCACCCTCTTGCCCTAGGGCCACAAATCCACAAAAGGGACATTTTACTGTTAGGAAAATAATGGGGGAAACATTGAAAAGTGTGGGAATGAATTGTTAACAGGAATATGTGTAAACAGGAGTAAAGTAAAGGGAAAGGGACCCCTGACCATTAGGTCCAGTCATGGCCGACTCTGGGATTGCGGCGCTCATCTCGCTTTATTGGCCGAGGGAGCCGGCGTACAGCTTCCGGGTCATGTGGCCAGCATGACTAAGCCGCTTCTGGCAAACCAGAACAGCACACGGAAACGCCGTTTACCTTCCCGCCGGAGTGTTACCTATTTATCTACTTGCACTTTGATGTGCTTTCAAACTGCTCGGTTGGCAGGAGCAGGGACCGAGCAACAGGAGCTTACCCCGTCGCGGGGATTCGAACCGCCAACCTTCTGATCGGCAAGTCCTAGGCTCTGTGGTTTAACCCACAGCGCCATCCACGTCCCTAATGTAAACAAGAATATCTGTAAATAAATCGAGGTGAATGCACATTGTCATATAAGCACTCCATAAACAATCCAGACTGGACATAGGCTATCCACGGCATAAGATTTGTACAGGGGCACAAAGAAGGCATCTGCTAAAATACCTTCTTCTGCCCAAAGATTCAAACTGTAGAAGACTTGCCCATCTATTTAAACCCGGCCATCCTACACACAGGTGAGCTGGGGTCACTGACTGAGAAACCTCCCTTCCCATGCCAGCCCTCTCTTTCTCTCTCTCCGCTTGTGTACGTATGTATGTTTTACAACAACAAAAGAACAAAGTTATTTACAAAAGGCACCATTATTATATGTCCAAATTTCATGCATTGGCAAAGGCAGAGAGTTAGATGTAACATTTTCAATAAAAGAGATAACAGCACTCTACTCCTTTGGATGATGCCGAAGGGTTAAGTAGCTTGGCCTTTTCACATTTCTCTGAAGATCAGTACAGATTAAGTTGAAATGTATCTAGAGAAGCCTTCCCCATTGTGGTGCCTTCCTGATTATTTGGACTGCAACTCCCACCAGCCCCAGTCTGCATGGAAAACTCCACAATGGGGAAGGCTGCTGTAGAGGTTGTTTCCCATTAACCCCACCACCCGACGTGGAACAGAACAGACCATCCTACTTTAGAGAAGGCAAGAAGACATGCATCAATAAATCTTGGTCATGGTATGATCCCCATCCTAAGCATAGCATTCCCTTTTTGAAGGTGTTTTGCCTTACCGTGTGAGCTGATAGTGGTTCATTCTTGACTGACAGCAGACACATCATTCCTGATGTTGTATAATGTACCCTTAGACTTGAGCAGGGCTTTGAAGAGTGATGTTTTTATGAAGTCTATAGAATAGACAGGAATAGATGTGTCCTAATAAGATGGGAATGTGATGGGGGGAGGGTCCAATCTATCTAAGCTGTGGTGTACATTATCTCCCCCAACCATTTCTCTCTCTCCCTCTGTGTGTGTGGTTTTTTAAAAAAAAACGAGGACTGGAGAAGATGCTTTCCAATTCCAAACACTTTCTGCCTGAATTTAATTCCTCTCTGGATTTATTGCAGACAGAGGGGCAGAGAAGGCAGACTGGGATTGCGAAGGGAAAGGCAGACAGAACTGAGACACAGCAGAAGGGTAGGGCATGCTTTGGTTTCCTAAGGGAGCAATGGAAGTACTGTACTGTATCCTTGTATTCCCAGCTTCTTCATTTCCACTAAGCCCCTTCTTGTCCATCATGCATCCCTGAGCGGCCCCCATTGTTTGCTTGAGAGATGGGCAAGGGACACTTAATATCTGTGACCATCTGTTCATGTGAGCATTTATGTTGACAGTAAGCGCCAGCCACATGGGAGGCCTTCTATAGCAGCCACCTCACAGAGCTTGTTTGCAGAGTCACTGTCCTAGCCTGGGATGGCAACATTTTAATAGGCTGTAGTAAATTCAAAGAGCCACAAAATGACCAATGGCTCTTGCCTTGCCATCTCCAGCAAGCTTCATAATTTGTATCCTGGGAGGACGGGAGGAAGGGTACTGAAGTAATAATTATCCTGAGCATAGGAAAAGAGAATATAGCCTTGTTTACTTCCGTAGGCTGCTGCATGGGACAGAAACATCACTGGGATCAGCTTGTCAAACTTCTGCATATTCTGTGTTGCATTGCTATTAGTGCAGATAAAGAGAGGGAGCTCCTATCTGCTTCGAATGCTGTGTGTTGTGGGTCTGGTATTTGTTTATTTGCAATTTGGCAATACCACTAATAATTCAAGGAAATGGGTACATTGTATCTTGAAGGATGCGCCTTGAAGGATGGAGGGCTGCAGGAATGTTAATTTTGCTCTAACAAGAAGCCATTTTTTTCTGCAAAGAAACACTGAAATGTAGTGCTTATCGAGGACAAGACCTGGAATGGCTTCCACACCTGGAATGAAAGGGGTGGGTGCCATCTTGCTCTTTGCCTCAGGTGGCAACATGTCTTGGGCCAACTTCCTTTCAAAGTTTGCATGATCTTTCTCCTCATCTTTTCTTATCCCTTGCAGTGCATGAGGTCTGCAGAGTGGCTGAACATTTTGCCATAAACCATGTCAGGCTCCTATGATGAGTCTGCGGCATCTGCTGAGGAAATAACTGACAGTTTCTGGGAGGTAAGAGTCCCCTCGGCACAAACCACAGACGTATCTTCTGAAGAAACACTGGCTGAGGAGGGAGGCAGCATAAAACAGCCCCTCCAAGGTCCAACCAAAGCTTCTCTGTTGGCCTCATGCAAATGAGATTTCTGGTTGGTGGTCCTGGCTGACTCTTGAACCCAAGGTTCTAGAGAAGGGAAGTCATGCATTGCCATAGGCTTTCAACAGCAGTGCAATGGATTTTGCAGAAAGAAAGGGTAGAAGATGGAGAGAACCTTCTGGAAAAAAGCAGTGTTGATCATACATAGTTTGGTCTTCTAATGCTTTTCCTTCTAGAAGATGTTGTCCCCACAACTCAGGCGCCTTCTTAATACTTAATTTCTAAAGCAAAAGTTTCCAGAGCTCATGAGCTTCTGGGAGTCATACTTCTACCCTGGAATCTCTGCCTTCTAAACCTTATAATCTAGCTAGTTGTGGTTACTCACTGGTTAAAAAGGGGCACATTTTGCTGACATGGCTGGCACCTGCAGAATGGGCCCCTTATTCTGCATGGGTGGGGGGGGGTTGCAGTCAAAGGGGACAAAAGTGACCTCTCTAGTTGTATTAATGTGAGAGCAATTAGTGATCTGATGGAATAGGATCATCCATCTGACCAGTCCAGGAAGTTTTGCCCTCACCTTCAGTCAGCTTTGCTTGTCTTCAGTAGAGTAAATCTAATTGGCTAGCTAGCACTGTGCCATCATCACACTCACTACATGACCCCTGATTCACTGATATCTTGTAGGGCAGCAATGAGGGACATCTGGCCCACAGACCTAATTGGACTTCTCCATTTGGCCAAACCACGCCATTTTGGCCAAGCCATACCCTCCTGACATCAGGTGTAGGGTAGGTAAAGATGTAGCTGGGGCAAAGGGGTTTTTCAGACAGTGCTGATCAGCAGGTTGGCAACATGCACATTGCAAAGCCCCATGCACATTGCTTTTCAAGCACAGACAACCAGCTGATTGTTGGTGCTTGCAGAAGCTCAGTGCACTGCACTTTGCAAGCAGTGATCCGCTGACTTGCATGGCACTGTATGTGGCTCCTTGCAAGCCCCCAAAAGCAGCTGATCATGGGGACTGCAAAGAGCTGTACAGGGTGCTGTGCTAGCATAAACAATCATCAGATTAGCCGCACCCACATGTCAAACTTGTGGCTCATGTTGGGTTGGAGAGATAAGAATCTGATATTCTTTTTGCTCTCCTGGTTGCTCAGAGCCAGGCTGGTCTCCAGGACTATCTCTGGGACTACAGCTAGTCACTCTTACCATGCAGCTGTTCATGTGTCTGGCAGGTAGGGAACTACAAACGGACGGTGAAACGGATTGATGATGGTTATCGGCTGTGCAATGACCTGATGAACTGTGTCCATGAGCGGGCCAAGATTGAGAAAGCATATTCCCAGCAGCTGGTCGATTGGTCCAAACGGTGGAGGCAGCTAATAGAGAAAGGTATTTCTCCTCCATACTGGGGTGGGGCAGAATGGGGAGAGAAGATGGGAAATGGAAGAGACAGGAACAGCAATTTGCAAGGTGGCATCAGTCCTTCCTCCCCACCCTCTGTGTAATGTAGAGGAAGAATGTTTCCCCAGGAATTATTTTAGATTAATTATTTTCATCTAATAGTAAAAGCTATGCTGGGGCTCTGTGAACAAGTTGCTGCTGCATGGGCCTTCCCAGACTATTAGTTGTTTATTCAGAAATTTATTGTTTCCAAGTACACATTTGGCCCAAGAAGCTTTCAGTAAGCAGATAAATTAGAATAATAATGCACAACAAAGCCCAACATATTAAGTTATTCATAAAATGAGTCAGATCAGCTAAAACCTCATGAGCTTTGTAAACACAAGAGTTTTTAAAATCTTACTTCTTTCTTGCAGCCTGATGAAATGCATGTTTACAAAGATGCAAGCCCTACTGTGTCCAGCAGGACGTACTCCCAAATAAGTGTGCATACAATCACAGTCCATTGTTGATGCATATTAGTGCAGACCCAGTGCCAGCAGCAGCATGATACCCTGTTCTGTATAACTACAGGCAGCATGGAGAATAGCTTCTAAGTTGTGTCAGGATATAGTGGGCAAAATTAGACCTGATATGAGAGGTCAGTGATCAGGATCTCTCCTGGGTGCTTTTGGGCTGCTGTTTGTTTGTTTCAAGGTCAATAGTCCAATGCAACCTCTTTCAAGCCTGGAGGTGGTCTTGAACCTTTACTCAAGAGTAGACCTATTGAAATTGGTGAAAGTGAGTTGGTGAGAACCAATAATTTCAGAAGGTCTACTTTCAGTAAAACTGAGTTGAATACTACCCTCCATAACTGACACTGGGGAAGTGGGTGGTTAACTCTCCTCTGGTACCAGTTCCCCAGTGGGGCTGTTGATTACACACAATGGAGAACACAAACTCCTGAGAAATTCTGGTTTTTGGGATTTGGGTGGTATTCAATTAGTAGCCCTCCTTTGACAAAGGTATTGATCATTGAAACAGGAAGGGGGCGGGATTTGCTGCCTCCCTCTAGTGTAATCCACCCCCCCAAAAAAAGAATTGCTCCAGACTGACCCTCCTACTCCTGTCTATTGGTCAAAAAAGAATAAGAGGGAATGTGTACTCCACTGCACAGCTTTCACAGAATTAAATAGAGAATGAAGAAAAATGCACACAAAATGGTTTGGCACATAAGATGGAGGGGTTGCCTTGCTGATAATGTGGGTGGGTCCCCTGCCTCAATAACTATCAACTGCAAAACTATTGCACAAGGAACAGTAGTCTGGAAATGCTCTAAAACAGGGATGGGAACCTGTGGCCTTCCACACATTGTTGCACTGAGACTTCCACCCTCCCTGACCATCGGCTATGCTATTTGGAGCGGATGGGGCTATTGCTGAGTCCAGCGGCACCTGGAGGTCCACAGGTTTCTCATCCCCTGCTCTAAGAACTAGATATTATTCAAGTCTCTTGTCACTATGTACTTCTCAGTTCTCTGCCACAGTGTTCCAACCAGCAAAATGGCAAAGGTTAGAGTCCCTTAATGTATTGTGAGTGCATTATGAGAGCGTGTAACCTGCAAGGGAGGAACAGGGTGTTATTTCAGGATGCCCAATGGTCACCCCAGTCTTGCTGGTGCTCTCGGTACATAGGCCCACAGTACGGCAGTTTGGAGAAAGCGTGGATGGCCATAATGACAGAGGCGGACAAGGTGAGCGAGCTGCATCAGGAAGTGAAGAATAGCTTGTTGAACGACGACTTCGAGAAGGTGAAGAACTGGCAGAAGGATGCCTTCCACAAACAGATCATGGGAGGCTTCAAGGAGGCCAAGGAAGCAGAGGATGGTTTTCGGAAAGCACAGAAACCCTGGGCCAAGAAGATGAAGGAGGTAGGAAGGGCTGGAGGAGGAGAGAAGGGCAGAGTGACTCATGAGGTCAATCTTTTTATGGAGGAAAGGAACCCAACAGCTTCCTTGGGCTGTGACTGGGAGAGCATCCCCATCCCATTTTATCCACAGAACCCTAACATGGGATGTGGGCAGGAGCCTGTTTTATCTTAAGAGAATCAAGTCATACCTGCAAGATAATATAAAGATCACAATGTGTGGCACAAAAAAGGATCATGTTGCATATGTATCCAGTGTCTGTAGAGCCCTACCTTCATGGTTTAGTTTATACTTTCATAGACCTAGATGGGTCTCAGTGTAGCTAAGGGACACACACACACACACACACACACACCTGGGAAGTAAGAAGTATTTGCCAGTTCTCTAGTAATCTACATATAGCTGTAAACCACATAATTTGACTTTGTAACAAGAAATTGTAACAAGAAAACTCAAGTTTCTAGTCTTCATGCCTACAGAGAAAGCATTGCTATGTCCTTGTGCAGTTTACTACAGTAGCCAAATTGGGTTTCTAAGCACAGAGTTTGGATTTTTTGAAAGCATGGACAATGGGCTTTATGAAGGGGGTGGAGGACTTGTAATGGAGAGGAATTGTTTCAGGCAAAAGTGAGCACTTCTGGCCTCAATCTTACTGCAGCAGTTTCATAAGAAACAGGAGACAGGAATGTTGTACTGGGCCTCAGCAGTCACCCTTTCCTTCTTTTCTCAACTCAAACCAGCTGGAAACAGCCAAGAAAGCGTATCACCTGGCATGCAAAGAGGAGAAGCTTGCCATGACCCGAGAAGCCAACAGCAAAGCTGAGCAGTCCATCACTCCAGATCAGCAAAAGAAGCTGCAAGACAAAGTGGAAAAATGCAAGCAGGATGTGCAAAAGGTAGGAGTGACCACCAAGGATATAGACAAATTGACACACATGGAAATTTCTCCCTTTGAACATCTGAGAAACGCAACCATCTTCACATGTAGATAAAGGCGCAGACAAAAAAAAGTAACAGATGCACGCACAATGTTTTACAGTATGTGCATGCACACTCTTACACAAACATGAACAACCTTCTAATACATTCACTTCCTCATCCTTACACAAAAAGCCCTTTATCATCCTTGTCCCTATGCATGCCTGCCCCCTCGTCTGTTGTGCTCACATCCATATTCTCTTATCATTTTGTTTCTCTCATACAGCAGTTCAAATCATCCTCACATGCATCCACTCATGTACATCCTACCCATCTTTACACATGCACTCCTTTTCTTGGTCACATGATGGAGGTGTCATTGACGGAGCAGTGTGGAGTCATGCAATTCTGCTTTGGTCCCGCTTGCCGTTTTTCCTCCCTGGTCATCGACACTGCAACGTTCTCAGTAGCACCCAGGGATGGGGGAACCAGTAGAGTTGGGAAGAAGTCCATACTCCTACTTCCAATGTGCCTTGGCTTTGAGGAAAGCTTTACATTTGCTTTGGTCCTCTGTAGCTGGCTTACAAAATTTTCCCTTGCTAAGACAGGAGAAGCCTGCAGCAGTGGGCAAGATCATTGGCTTCTCTTCACCAACAATTCACTTCCTACCTCGCTGTTGCTTTTATGGCTCTAAGGCAGTGAAAAATAGTGTGGGCATGATATCTCCTGCCCTGTGCAGCATCTGCCAGTCTCTCTCCTGCCTCTCCCCACTGCTGTGAGGTGAATCTGGTGACCTACTTGCTGCTATACAGGAGCTGGAAAAATAATTCCTCCATAATGCCTTACTGCCCCAGAGCTGGTAATGCAGTTCTGGGCACTGGGCAGGATTCACCCCATCAACAGCTTTCCTTGCCTCTCCTTCTTGCTGTATCCCCTAAAATTGTCTCAGGGGAGTCCGGAGAACCACCAGAACAGCATGCAGGAGGAGAGGATGGGGGATTGTTCCATTGCTTCCTTAATATAAATAAATAATTTTTATTTATACCCCGTCCTTCCCGGTTCAGAAAACTGTTTAAGAACACTGAATATCCAGCCCAGAAAGTCTGCCTAGACAGGTCTTGCTGTGGGAACAGGGTGCCCTTTTCAGTAACTGGATCTTAATCTGAGTCCCCTTTTTGTGTCCACAGACCCAGGAGAAGTATGAAAAGGTGGTGGATGAGCTTAGTAAGTCTACCCCACAGTACATGGAAAGTATGGAGCAGGTCTTTGAGCAATGCCAGCAATTCGAAGAGAAGAGACTCATCTTCCTGAAGGAGGTGCTGTTGGACATCAAGCGGCACCTGAACCTGGCAGAGAACAACAGGTATCATATTTCCCCGAGGTTGCGTCCAGGCAACCTGTTTATTGAGCATTCATCCTCATTTGCTTGCACAAGGTTTGCTGGGAGGTTAGACAGTGTTGGCTATTTATTGTGCATTCATTCTGATGTACTTGTGGAGAGATTATATGACATTGCAGCAAGCAATGGTCGCCCCACACTTTCCAGTGTGTTTTTCCGTCACTTTCCTTATACAAAAAGTCTGATATTGAGGGGGGAAACAGGTTTCTTGTGCAAGAGCATCAAATCAACTTTTAACTGGGTAACATGAATTTGCCAGAATGCGGTTGAATCCCACCTGAAAATAGCAGCAATCTGGAAGTGCCCTGAAACTCTGAAACAGCCCTGTAGAAAATGCCGCCATGATTTATGTGAAAGGGATAGTCCTTGAGTGAGCACTTGGAGCTTCTTCCCAGCCTTGTCAACTTCCCTTTCATTCAACTGTGCATCTGTATGGGTGCATCTCCTGCACCCAAATCAGCATTTTAGCATCGTATGGGAACTATGGGGAAAATTTCTCTTAAGAAAACACAACACACGAGAGTCACACACTGGCATTGCACCTTGGGCAGTCTGTACTGGCTCCACTTTCATCTCTGTTACCATACAGACTGTTCCATGACGAGATCAGTAGTTGCTGGGGTGGGGGAAGTTCTCATTTGCTAGCAGTCTCAAGCAGAGGCTAGTCAGCCATCTCTTGTAGATGCTGTAGCTCCTGCATCAAAGAAGCTGCTCAACATCAGGGATTAGAGCCCTTTGTGAAAGTAATGTTTGAAGCAGCTTACACTTCTCCTTTAAATAAATGGGTCTCTCTCTCACACACCCGCTTCTGTCTACCTGCTTACAGGAGAAGCTCAAACTGATTCAAACAGCACTTTTGCAAAGCACTTTTAGAGAGTTCCTGTGGTCCTATTTCAGACTCTGGAGGCTGAAACAGGAACATGGGACTGTCTTAAAGTACCTTGAAAAAGGAGGCACGTAAAGGAGAAGGAGGCAGCTGTTTCAAACAGTGCTTTTGCAGGCTGAAATAGGAGCATGGAGGCTGCCTTTTGCAAAATAATTTTGCACACCGGTCTTTCTTTCTAGGTTTTTTATTTTTTTTAATTCTCTAGATAATTACAGGTGTCCCACAGACCTTACAATGTGAGACTCTCTAGAACACTGCCTGCAGTCAGCTGAAGTTGTGGAGTTGTTAAAGCAGGGAATGTTGGATTTTAAAAATGCCTGAAATGAAGCATTTAACTCTTAAAAACATTCGCTGCTGCTGTGCTTTAGCACACAAAAAATCTAGAGCTCTTAAATGTTCTGCATGCAGCATTTTGGAGAGCCTCAGTTCTTGAGGGCCTAGTGAAACAGAGATTTATAGGAAAGCAGAACAGAAAAACGCAGAAATAAGGTGACAGAGAAATGCAAGCCTTTGGAAGGACCCCAATCTGACTTGGGGAGGTTATTAATACTTCAACTTGAGGAGGGGGGAGGAGTCCCCTAAAAGAATAACCCCAATTCCCCTTGTTATTCAGCCTCCTCACAGAGCTGATGCACACCCCTGTCTAACACCAATCTCAACCTGCTGCACATGTAGATCCAGCCATAGAAGGAAGCTGAAGAGAGAAGTGTTGCCATTCTCATTAACAAGCTTCTAGTATATCTGTCAGGGCAGCAAGGGGACATTCAGTGGCAGAAGCAAATTAATTCACAATCCCCAAACAGCCAGTGCAATGTCTGAGCAGATGTGCGCTGTGTTAGCAGCAGCAGTGTTTATTTTTCAAGTACCAGAAGCATACCTGGTTGTTTTATACATATACACAAAATTTGAACTGAATAATTGTGGGGGAGATGGGTAATGTGTAATTTAGTAAATTCTCCATCCCAGTTGGGGAATATGTGTGTGTGTGTGTGTGAAAGAGATCTCATACTGCCTTTTTTTTTTTTTTGAAACAAAAACATTTGATATAGTATAGATATTGTTTGGAGCTGAGGCCTCCAAGGCTGGGAGAGATGGCTCTCAGTATCCCAAAATCTGTAACCGCAGATGAGATGACAGTGAGTGTGTGTGTTACTGTGCAAGCTTGGAGCCTACCAAATGGTGGCTGTGGGTTTCAAATCTTGGGAGCCACCCTAAACTAGGAGGAGGCCTACTGGAGCTCATAAAAACATCGGGATATTTTTCCTTTTAGAAATTATATACAGTGGTACCTCGGTTTACGAACTTAATCCATTCTGGAGGTCTGTTCTTAAACTAAAACTGTTCTTAAATCGAGGCACACTTAATGAGGCCTCCCGCCACCAGTGCCCTTCCACCGCTTGGATTCCATTCTTAGATCGAGGTAAAGTTCACAAACCAGGACACTACTTCCGGTTTTGCGGAGTTTGTAAACCTAATAGTTCTTAAACAGGGCTGTTCTTAAACTGAGGTACCACTGTATTAGCTAATGCAGCTTCCAGCAACAAGCTCCATAAGTTCTGCCTGCTGTAGGAGCTGTGGCTGGAAATTTAAGAGGGTTGAAAGCTTGAGCCAGTTTCTATGGATTGTCTAAATAATTTTCATAAGCGCAAAGTATGTTTCTATCTGCATCTTATGGATAGATTGGTATATGTGAGGTGGTGGACAAAATGCCTATCATAAGACCACTGCAAGGAAATAGTTGCTTTGGATTGCACAATCCTGAAACTAATCGGAGTGCAAAAGGTCATAAATGTGTCAGAAGCTAAATTTATTGATTGATTGAAAAAACTTCTACACTGCTTAATAATTCAGAATTTTGAACCAGTACACAAAATTATAAAATCATATATGCAGTAATACAGTTTTCTCCATCTCCACAATGGCCAACATAATATACCAACCAATATCAATGATAATGATTATTATTGATTTATTATTTATACCCCGCCCATCCGGCTGGGTTTCCCCAGCTACTCTGGGTGGCTCCCAAAATAATAATAATAATAATAATAATAATAATAATAATAATAATGTGATAAAACATCAAACATTAAAAACTTCCATGAACAGGGACTACTTGGGCGAACGGGAAAGGCTTCGGAATCTGCCGAAAACATATAGCAGTGATATGATACACCCAGAGGATAGCTCCTCAAAAACAGTAGGAATAAGCCCCAAATAAAGAAGGTATCCCAAATAAAAATGAGCCATCATTGCTTGAAAGTGAAGAACCTGAAAGCTGGATCACATGATCTCTCTGAAATTCCACAGAGGTATTCTGTGAAAAGGAAGGATTTCCCATTCCCTGATGTCCTTCTAGCTGCAAGGTAGAATGAAGGGACTGTGAGTGAATCATAGCTTAAGGCCTCCCACTTTGATACCTTCCAGTAACTTCTCCATTCATTACTGCTAAGGAAAATGGACTGTCCTTAGAGATAGATATTTTACAAACTGACTTAAACAGCCAGATTTTTTGGTAAGGATGCTCAGACACCTCTATAATGAATCACAGATGGCATAACAGCAAAGTCACAGTGCCATCCTCCTTGCACTTCAAAGCCAGTGCTGGTCCAATTTATGTGTGCTGCTTGCGCCCCCTTGTGCTTAATTAGAACAATCTGAGTGCTCAGATTTCCTTGGTTGTAGATGATGAGCGCAAGAGGCTGCCTTAGCTCAACGCGGACTGCACTAGCTAGCAGCAACTCTCCAGGGTTTCACAGATAGAGAGGAGCCTTTCCTAGCCGTATCTTAAGATGCTAAGGATTGGACTTGGGAGCTTTTGTATGAAAAGCATGTGCAACAGCCCTTCCCCAGTCGCTGCTTTTGCCACATTACTCATGCCCAGTATTGAGAGGTGTGTTTGCTTGCTTGTATGTCTGTTTGAAACAAGCAGTTATGCTAAGGTGTACCGTGAGCTGGAGCAGACCATCCGTGCAGCCGATGCGCAAGACGACCTACGGTGGTTCCGCAACACTAGTGGCCCAGGAATGCCCATGAACTGGCCTCAGGTAGAGGTAAGAAACTGTCCTCTTACGCCGAAACCAGGGGTGGCTGCAATTCTGTAGCTCAGTATAATCTACACAAGGGTTTCCCAAACTTGGGTCTCTAGCTGTTTTTGGACTGCAATTTCCATCATCCCTGACCAGTGGTCCTGCTAGGTAGGGATGATGGGAGTTGTAGTCCAACAACAGCTGGAGACCCAAGTTTGAGAAACTTTGGTCTACACTGACTAGAAGAGTCTTTCTGGGATTTCAAACAGAGTTGTCTCCCATGCCTGCCTGGAGATGCAGTTGATTGAATTTGGGACCTTCTGCATGCAAACAGGTTCTCTACCACTGTGACCCTTCGCTTTATGTCAGGTAGGCTGTAGCCTACAGATTCAACAGCTGCTAGCCTCAGTGGGTCTCTTGAGCTTTGATATTCAGAGAAGCAATTTGCCACCGAATGCTAGCTGCTGAGGAGCAAGAGCAGGAGAGGACTACTGCCTATGTGCCCTGTTTTTTGGATTCCCAGAGGCACCCAGTGGGCCACTGTGGCAGAAAGGAAGGCAAGATGAAATAGGCCTTTGGTCTGATCCAGCAGGGCCCTTCTTATGATTAGAACTGGGGGTTAGGAGAGCAGTGCGACGCTGTTAAGAATTCAATGGTACATTTCCTTGGCTGCAGGAGTGGAACCCAGATGCAGCAGCACAACCAGTAGCAAGGAAAGAGAAACCTCCCAAAAAGAATGAAACAAGCAACTCATCCAATGCCAGTGGGGGTGGGGAGGCAGCAGCACAAGCTGGGGACCGCGGCAGGTGAGTATGCCAAGAATCCTGGGAACTGGAGGCCATTGAGTCCCATTGTGGTTAGCCATCTCCAGGGGCTTTGTGCTATCGGTCCTCATGGTGCCCTATTGCATTGCCAGCGTGAGCAGCTATGAACGTAGCCAAGCCTACGCTGCCGAGTGGTCAGACGATGATGGCGGCAACACCTACAACTCCAGCGAAGCCAATGGTGGTGCCAACTCCTTTGAGGAAGAGCCAGTTGCGAAAGGCGTGCGTGTACGAGCTCTGTATGACTATGACGGGCAGGAGCAGGACGAGCTGAGTTTCAAAGCAGGTATGTCTTAAGATTTGCTAAGTGGTGATGGCTGAGATGAACAGATGACAGATTGCTGCCTGGGCTAGTGCTGTCTCACGGATACTGGCCACAACCTCCTTGTTGTCTATATGCTCTGGTAACCTCAAGGTTAGATTACTGCAGTGCGTTATACATAGGGCTGCCTCAGAAGACTGTTCAGAAACTTCAGCTATTGCAAAATTTAGTGACCAGGTTGCTCATTGAACAAGACAGGTTGAGCATATTACACCGATCCTGGTCTAACTGCACTGGCTACCAATTAGTTTCCAGGCCCAATTCCAAGTGCTGGTTTTGACCTATAAAGCCTTAAACGGCTCAGGGCCACCTCTTTCCATATGAACCTACCTGGACCCTGAGATCATCTTCTGAAGCGCTCCTTCGTGTGCCTCCTCCTTGAGAGGTCCAGAGGCTGGCAATACGAGAACGGGCCTTCTCTGCAGTGGAGCCCCATCTTTGGAATGCTCTCCCCAGGAAAGTTCACCTTGCTCCTCCATTATACACCTTTAGGCACCATGCAAAACCCTTCCTCTCTATTCTGTGTTTTTATATCGTTATTTTATCCTGTGAACCGCCCTGAGACCTGCAGGTATAGGGCGGTATGCAAATTTAATTGATGGTGGTGGTGTAGATGTTCCTGCAGCCTGTACATATGTGCTCTCAGAGGTGCTGCCAGGTTTGCGAGGACTCCAGACAAGACACTTTCTGTAGGGTCTCCATTTCCCCGACCTTTCATACCACCACCTGTTACCTTGGTTACCCCTCCCTGACACTGCTGTTCCCCTTTTTGTGTTTGGTGGGTGATGCCATTTGTACCTAATATTTTAATGTAAAACAGCCTTGTGAGACTGAGGGCTTATTCACACTACCTTTTGTGCTGCACTTCCTAAGCACGGGTCCAGGATTTCTAGGTCTGTCTCTCCGGGGGGGAGGTGCATGCGCACGTGCACACATGCCTGCCCCACTGCTTTCCCCAGGAAAACTTGCTGTCAACCCTGAATTGGAACAAATGGCAATTGGGTTTTCCATGGATTGCAAATTGTTCCAATTCAGCATTAAAACACAAGTTTTCCCAGCAAAAGCAGTGAGACTCACAAACTGCTCTAACACAGACCTAGCAATCCTGGACCTGTGCTTAGAAAAGCACAACACAAAACAAAATGTTTCTCCCTGTGCAGAATTAAGGTAAAGGGACCCCTGACCATTAGGTCCAGTCGTGACTGACTGGGGTTGCGGCGCTCATCTCGCTTTATTGGCAGAGGGAACCGGCGTACAGCTTCCGGGTCATGTGGCCAGCATGACTAAGCCACTTCTGGCAAACCAGAACAGTGCATGGAAACGCCATTTACCTTCCCGCCAGAGCGGTACCTATTTATCTACTTGCACTTTGAGGTGTTTTCGAACTGCTAGGTTGGCAGGAGCAGGGACCGAGCAACAGGAGCTCACTCCGTCACGGGGATTCGAACCGCCGACCTTCTGATCAGCAAGTTCTAGGCTCTGTGGTTTAACCCACAGCGCCACCCGCGTCCCCTGTGCAGAATTGCACAAGGTTAAATATATGCTGAAAGCAGCTGAGATGAGAGATTTGGAGCAGAAAAGTGGACAGTTGGGAAAGCACCCCTGTCCTTTGGTGCCATTTGCCCTTTACTGCAATAAATTGACAAGGAGCCGCCAATTTCAAATTTGTTCTTCTCCTTCTTCTAGGTGATGAATTAACCAAATTAGGTGAAGAAGACGAACAAGGCTGGTGCAAAGGGCGTCTGGACAACGGGCAACTGGGTCTTTATCCAGCTAACTACGTGGAGTCTATCTAGTTTTATCGTGTTCTCCTCACTGCTGTCAGAAAAACAAACCAACCCGCTGTCATCGCCTATCTCTCTATTCCAGCCAAGTAGCCATCTTGCCGTCCCGTCACCCACGCAGCACAGTTAGAAATATCCAAACATATTTTCCGACCGATCTTATTTTTTTAATAGACATTTCTGAAGAGTATTTTGTGATGGCTTTAATCTTTTTATTTTCTTCCTTTCTGTTTGAGATAATGAGATACGAAAAGGTCGACACTGTCTCTGGAGGGCTTCCTTAATAAGTGAAAGTCAGGACCTCAAGCCCTTAAAACCTGACCAACAAGGCTTCTGATTGGTTGGTTTTTAAGGTTAATGTATTTGTGATCTACCCTGCAATTGGCCTGAAAAATTATGAAATGCTGGGGCCATTAAATCCACTTCACCCTCTCTGAATAGATTGAACAAGTAAAAAATAGAGAGGATTTGTTATTTGATTTGTTATTCCTGTCCGTTTCCCTTCTGCATTTTCTTTCTTGCCTATTCCCGTTTTGAAAAGCAACAAGACAACTGTCTTCTGCAAAAAGCCTCAGTCAGTGTTCTTGCACAGTAATATTCTACTAGTCAACTGATCATCCTGAGCCATTGCATTTGCTGAAGTTATTGTATGCATATGCTATTTAAATCAAAGGGTTCACCACGCAGAGCCCCAAGATCCCATTTCCCCCATATATTTGGAGCATGATAAGGCTTCTCCTTCTGCTGACTGGAGACATACTGAAACTTTGAGCTCAAGATGGACACCCTATGCAAATAATTCAAGTATCACTTGCTCCTTTCTCCCAGTTTCTTTTACTGAACTTGGGCTCCATTATGTGCTGTTTCCATTCTGAGAGGTATCTATTGAAGCAGGAAAAACAATGAGATGCAAACCTGTTGAAGCTAATATAGGCTGCCTGTATAATCAGACAGACCACCAGGCACTCTTTGACAGATAAATTCATTGTTGTGATATGGTCCGAAAACCTTGCTTGAAAGTGATGATTTGCCACAGTTTTCATTCTTAAACAAGATTGCCCTTTCAGTTTCTACAGGATGCCTTTGGAAACATATACTTGATTGGAATCCAAGCCTTTAGCTATGGAGAATATAACAACAACTGCCCAGATGTTGACTGGAAATTTCATAGTGTGAACAGGGTTAAGTTCGCCAAAGTGAGGTGGGAGGCTGCATCTCTGTATCAACTGGGGCGGGAAAACCTACGTAATTAATGATTAAGGAAACAGGAAGTTGTCAATGTGATGTCATGCAACATATGACGTAGAAGGCGTTCAGCAGATGAGATGTGTGGCTAGTAATAGATGCCAACGCTGGTGCCAGGAAGAAGTATCCTTAAAGTATTGGAAAGTCCAGTTGGATTTCTGTGCACATTGTGATATTAGCAGCAATTGTGTCTGATTTTGTGCATTGATTTTGAACAGTTTGGAGCCATGGAAGCAGTCAGCTGACCCAAGGATAGCAGAAAAGATAACCAAGACTGCTGAGAAAAGTTTGTTCTAAAGTGAGGTGCTTTGTCCCTTTCTCAGGCAGTATAAGAAGACTGCCTGAATCCCAGATAAAGCGCCAAATCCATGTTGAAGCTCCCTCCTGTTTGGAAAAAGTATTCATGCCACAGAAGTGGAAGGAAGGAGTTTGAGGGCTGGCTAGGATGTGTCAGCTGAAGTTCTGTGTTTCCTTCCTGGGCCTGAAGTTAGCACTTCAGCTCTTTGAGCTGAGGACAGTATGAATGGATGCCTAGAGTTTAGATTAAATGTAATCCCAAACACTTAAAGGTCCACGTCAGCAGTGAAGGTGTGTTTGGTTTGCTTCAGCCTCCAGAAGTATTCTGTGTTCATACTGGAAATGAGAAATTAGTTGGTTGGGATAGCTATGTACCTCATAGATTAAGGAAACTGGTAAGAAGTTAGCATGCTCCTAGACCAGGGGTGGAGAACGTGAGACCCAAGTACCAAGCCTCCCAGGCCTCTCTGTCTGTCCCTCAGAACTCTCCTCACGCCACACACCCTCCCTGGCCCTGCTTTTCACTTGAGTCGTTTTCCCTGGCTGGAGTGTGCTCTTGAACTCCGATAGTGTCTCCTGCTTATCAATATGGAGAATAAAATTGGTGTGCATAGAAACTAGCCTACTGTACAAAGGTAAACTCTACATTTGTCACTCTGCCCACTTTTACCTGTGGCATGCGACCCTCGGAAAGTTGTCCAGAAAGAATGCAGACTTCAGGCACGAACAGGTTCCCCACCTGCATTCTAGATCAAAGGGAAGTGACATTTCCCTACCTTTCCCCATCCAAATCCCTCACAGTTGGCACAAGAGAACCACCTATCTAGAGCTGAAGAAGCTATCATAGGAAAAATTAGCATAGGATGACAGTTTCTTTCAGTCATTGCTCTGTTTGGCCAAAGATATCATTGAACAGGGATCTAAACTTTATGATTCAGGAACCCTTTGGTGCCAGTAAATGAGGATCCTTCATTATTTTTAAGTTCTCTAGCATGCTTAATAAGTTGAATCTTCTAGCAAGCCTTTGTCCTGTCTGAGAACATGAGTTTGAGCCCTACAAGGATCACTAAAGAAACAATATATTTTGTACCACCTAGATATTGGTTAACTGACTTTGGATGTATCCCTGCAAGCATAGGTGAGGCCACCATTTCCTCTATAGGTGATTTGGTGTAAAATTCATCACTAGAAAGTCACATAGCAGATCCAAGCATTTCAGTGGAAATGTCTCCAATCAGAGTAACTAATTTCTGGTATTCAATGGGGGAAATTATTGGATGGAAGATGCTTTTTGTTAATTACAACATTATTGTGAACCACCCTGACATCTTTTGATGAAGGGTGGTACATAAAACAAATAATAATACTTATGTTTCTTTATGCACTAAATGCTGACCTGAATCCACCATTCCCACATGAAGGATGAAGAAGCAAATGCCAGTTGGTTCCCTCCAGTGTAATCATTCCATGAATGGAATGAACTTTTGTACATGGAAAGAAAGTTGCACACAGAGGAGTCCTTCTGCAAACAGAGCTATTCACAAAGCGATTGTGTGTGATGCAATATAAATAGGGAATTGATATGTTAAACATAATTACAACATCTGATCTAAAGGGAAGCAAAATTGTTGCTGGTGACATTTGTGGAAAAGTAGAATTAGATGAAATTAAGGGGGGAGCAAATTTAATTTGATTATCTTTAAGAATATCTTTGTCCAAAAAAACTCAAATGTAAAGACATTCCTTCAAATCTGTTTACTCACAAATTGTTCAGTTGTTGATTTTTTTAAATAGCTCCAGTCAGATAGGCTTTTAAGAAGCTGCATTTTCTTCTCCAAAAGTTAGGAAGCTGAAATAATCACAATTTATTTCTGTATTCTTATCTTCTCAGGCTTCCTTACCTTGGCAAAATTCTTGCCCTTTACTCAAATACATGGGTTCCTTGCAGCCTTTTTTTTCCATCCAAGAAACTAGAACAGCTAATGATAAGGTAGATTAGAGTGAAGTCTCAACAGTTCTTTTCGCAGTTTCTCTTCTCCATGGTAGCACAGTGTACATGGTGCATATCATCAATGCTGCACATCACCTGGGCTTGACCCAACTTTGGTTGACATATTTCAAACCAATGGAATCTGATGATTCCATCATCCAGCTACCTCCCATTGCCTAATTTGTTCATTTCACATATCTCACCTCAGAGTGCTCTGCTTCTGTTTACCAGAAGGCTCCTTGTTTCATGTCTGCTTATAGTACACTTTTATTAACATTCCTCTTCCAAAGTGTGCTCGTCTACATTGGATTCATCCGGCTGGGGACCCACAGATGCTTATGGCTATTGTAGCTTAGCTAGTCTATATATGAGTCTTCAAATCTTTCCTTGAATGCCCCCAGTCATCCCCTTCCCCAAGTTTCTTTATATAGAGCTGCCATCCTTCCTCCTCCACTGCAACCTGTATATCTTACAAATTATTGGAGCCAGTGAACCAAGTGTTGTTTCTGAACAAAACATGCTGCATACTGGATAACATAGACAATATTTTTCCGACCTTCAACTTTTGTTTTGTTTTGTTAGGTTAAGAAAAACTTTGAGGAATGCTGTTGTCTCAGCAATGCACCTGTTGTTTTTTTTGTACATTGATTGTGTAATTTAAAACAAAAAGGTATATATATATATATATAATAAATATATATATATATATTGTGACTGTATTACTGTGTATACAAAAATGATAACTGATCTATGTAAATGTTATATGGATTTTAATTCTTGTTTGATTCTCGTACTCTTTAACATCTCCTGATGTAGATGTAGCTGTCATGTTTACAAGATGAGCTTCATGCTGAGGTTGATCAGGTCACTGGGGTGGAAGGTGAACAAGGAGTAGTTCTGACTCCTAGATTAGTGACTAGCTGATGCTGCACTTCCAACTTAAATTAGATTTCGCTCCAAGTTCAAACTCAAGACTTAATTTGAACTCCAGCCCAAGCCTGATACTAAGAGCAAGCCACTGACTTGCACCCCATCTGACAGCTGGATAATATGGCTCACGGTTTGACAAAGTTCTGCTTTCTTTTTGTTATGCTCAGAAAGTTCTGAATATACCCCATTCTTGTTCCAACAGGTAAAGCTGATCTTTGGTGAGGGTAGCAGCAGTTTTCACATGAGGCACTAAGCTGTCTCACTCTGCATAGAAAGCATTGCATTTGGACATCCCTGACTGCTGAGCGGGAATCAGAAGATGCAAATGGGGAAAACCAATGGATGTGCTTTGCTAATGGTAGAGGATGAGGAAGAGTTAACGAAAGCCTTGATTCTGGCGCGAGTTAAGCCTCTGCTGCCACATCCCTGCACCATCACCCCCAAGGTATCAAAAATTAATGCTAGCATGACCTAGGAGCCCTCACCCCAGTTCTTAGAGAGAAGCAGAGATTTGCTTGTTAAGAGAGCCATTTACTGACACTGGAAGGACTGATTCTCATGCCCATCTCTGGAATGGTAGCTGTACTAGTTCAGAGGCCGCCAGTGGCACACATAGAGGCAGATGGATAAAGGCAGGCGCATGCAGAATTCTCTGTGCATTAACTTTTAGCATGCCAACCTCTTGGGAGTAGCTTTTTCAGCACTTTCAACAGCACCCTAAAAGTCAATGCAATTCTTTGCAAACCCTTAGCCTTCACATGCCTATGTCCTTGTAATGAAACGAGGTGCCCGAATCACAGTCTGCCCAGTGGCTACCCTCCTGGAAGTGCTCTTGAGAATCAGCAGTAAGGTTTCTGTAATTGTTGTGTGGGCCAAGGGCCACACAGTGAATGCTGGATCCGAAGAAAAGCTATGGTCCCTTTGTCTACTCCAGGGGTTGTCAACCTGGTCCCTACTGCCCACTAGTGGGCATTTCAGGATTCTAGGTGGGTGGTAGGGGGTTCTATGGTACAAGCTGACTTCCATTGAGCACTGGTGGGTGGTAAGGAAATTTTACCATCAAGAAAGATGTATTAGTGGGTGGTAGGTATAAAAAGGTTGACTATCCCTGGTCTACTCCTTCTGATTAAAGCCCTGGGGGACTGCGGGAGATTGTTACTGTCAGCAAAGCTACATACTAACAGATGGAGAGTAATGTATCTGTGTCATGCCAGTCTGCCTCTTCTTCCATAAAGAGCAAAAACTATACTTAAGAAAAACAATAATAAAAGGATTATTTTATTCATGCACAGTGTGTTTAGCTTTGTTGCTGTGGACAGAGATTCTAGGGGGGATCAGGTTTTATGACACAGGAAACGGAAACTCAACATGGGTTGACAACATGCAACAGAAAATAGTGCTCCTGTGCCTTTAATTCAGCAGGTGCAGTTGGGTTCCTCAAGTGCTGTAGTGATGGGCAAAACTGTATCTGCTGTTAAAGGTACAGGAGCACTTTATCACATGCTGATTTCACAGCTGCATTAACTGACAGAGCACATTAGGCAATCTGAGTTGTTTTTAACATTATTTTTTTTGAGCACTTATTTTCCAGGAAGCAACTATTCCCTAGTGATGTCTTTCCTCAGCACTGTGCTACAGCCAGGTATTTACACTCTCAACGGGTACTGTACGTCCTTGGGACCCATAGTTCGCATATGAATCGATGCATATCCTCAAGAAGCAACAACCGCCTTGCACACTCTAATATAAATCTCTCATCACCACCAACCTCTTCTGCTCGAAGCATCATAATTTATTGCAATGTGGGGAGGAAAAAAGGTGCTTTTTGTTATGCCACACAATAGCCACACAGTTCCATTTTCTTTAAGCGTTTATCATAATTGCCTGCAGCTATTTTATTTGCCAGATGCTTGCTTGCTGTCTTCCCATTATGCACTGCAAGGATGTGGTTGATTCTCCCAATCTGTACATTTCCATTTTACAAACGGCAGCAGCATCTATATTGTATACCTCCACTATAAAGAAATTAAGCATGGCATTCAACTAATATGCAATAGGCCCATTGAAATGAATAAATATGGCTGTGTTCAATCCATTAATTTCAGTGGGACTTCTCTGAATCAAACATAGTTGAATAATACCCAAAATGGGCAAATTTGATTGTGTTTTTTCTATAAAAGGATCCCACCTGCTAATCACATATTAATTTGTCCGCAAACCAAGGAAAAAGCAGTTGCATAACAGCTATTGGAAATGGGTTTTTAAGTATGTATTTTTTATATGGGTTAGTAATTTCATAAGGACCTTTGTCTCTAAATCCTCCATTTAAGCTATGAGCTGTCAAGAAAACAAATGTAAAAGAAAATCATTTTGAACACAAATTAGTCAAAGGTTGAACAAAATGCACATTAAAGATCATAGGAGTAGTGGAAAGCTGCATCCTGGATTTTGCAAAGTAGGGTCAAAACAATTTACAGAGAGCTTCACTGACAAGGGAGTAGGGATGGGCAACCCAGACTCTTACACTCATCCCCAAAAATGATTCTTTGACAAGCCCCATTACTCACCTACTATTGTGTCTCAGCGACTGACAGTTGTGAGAGAGTCACTCAGCATCCTTCAGGGCCAACTCATACTGACCTCTGCTCCATAGTGAATTGAATTAACTCGTCCTGTTCTGAAAACCTGAATAGCAAACTCTGAGACAACTATAGGAGGCTACTGCTAAAATGAAGACTTGTCCCCTTCACCCAAGCCCATGGAAAATTAAGGTGGGTTTGCTGTGTCTCAAACCCATGTGAAGAGAATTCTGTTAATGAAATGACTGGGCTAACTCTGAGATGAATTAGCAAGGGAGCAACTTGACCTTTTTTAATTGCTGTCTGTTGTGCAGCTCTTAAAAGGCACAGGAGCGCCTCCAGAAAGGAGGATGACAACTGCAACAATTTGGTTAGGGAGTTTCAGATAACATTTGGCAAAGAATTGGTCTTGCACCTTGAGAAGGCACTTAACTTCAGATTCAAAGACTGTTTACACAAAGTAATAATTTGCACTAATATTCTGAACGCACACACACAAAGGTAATTTAAGCTACTATGCATTATTCAGTACAGTAAACAGATTCCCTTGTACCCATTCTGGCTATTTATTACACAAGTCTCAATGTTGTGCTTGTTCCATGGTATTAAGAGGAACGTCAGTCTTCTATTCTTTGGTTGCCCGGACAGATTTTTTTCAACAAGGCCTGGTGATTTTGCCAGGATATCTGCAAGTAAAACAGAAGAACAGAAGGACCACACACATGCAACTATTCCCCCACATCCTCTCAATTTGCAGTGTGAGGTAAATAATGTGCATGGCACATCCTTCTTTGCCTTGCTGTTGTCCATCCATCCGAGTTAGAAAGTGCACACAGTTGGCTTAATTTGGCACAGGCAATTTTGCAGGCAGGGAACTGAGAGCATCTGAGTGACAAGAGAGTGATTCATGGAAAGCCACCCTGTGAGACTGGGAGGTGCTCTCTAATTCCCAGCATTAGCTACTGAACCGCAACAACAACAAAAACCCAGCATCATATTTTCAGAAAGTCAACAGCAAAGGCACTACGGCTTTGTCCGTTCTTGGGATGGTTGCCATCCCCCAGGGATCAGCATCACACCACCTTATATGATTGCCAGCAGCACCATGACAGCCTAGTGGTGGCACTGCTTTTCTCAGATTTACCCAAATGCTAAGCCAGTTGGCCCCTGTAAGCATGCAGGTGCCAGAGTGTTCTAGTCTTGGGTCAGCATGAGCTCTGCCAGAAAAGGACTGTACATGATCCTATTGTCTTTCCTCTCAAGCCAGGCTCATTCACACACTGAGAATGGGTGACTCTGTCCTTCTCCTAACAATACCCCAAACAGTCACCATTCTTATTCATTGACTATATGAGAAAGTGGCTGGTCCATTAATACCAAACTTGGGTAGGCTTTCTGAGCAGTTCCCTTGAGCTAGGCTCATACTCTCTTCTTAATCATAGACCCTATATGGTATTGCCAGCCAGATTCTAAACCGTTGCTTACATCATACCTCTTATACTGAAGATTACCCCTCGTTTGTATCAATATAAAACTCCATATCTCCAATATCAAATCCCAAGCCGCTGTGCCATTAGTAAAAATGGGGGGGGGGGGTCATGAGCAAATCACTCAGATTGTTGTCTGTCCTCTGCCACAGCAATTTCCTTGTCTCATAATAATTTTTGCTTTCTGCTTCATAAGCGGACAGCAAAGGAAGATCAGAGGGTATTGGGGCATTCAGACAACTCAGAAGTTTGCACTGCAGCATGACAGAATATGGAACAATACAGCACTGATGATTAGGCTATGAGGTCCTTCCCAAATGCATTTATTGCAAGATCTGACTCGTTTATGAGCGACTTTGAGAGATTTGCTCCCTAGTTTGCATTTAGCAAAGTTGCAAAAAAAACAACAAACCCCCCTTTGCTTTTATGTCTACCATATTCTACCAATGACTTCACTGGAAAGGAAGCAACATCTGCTGGTTAGAATCGAGTCTCTCTCTACTGTTACCCTTCCTCCTCCTCTTGACTTCCCATAAGCATGCAGCTGGATATGTATAGAGAATATGTTTAGATAAATGTACAGAAAGGAAAAATTTCCTATATGCAAACCTGTGAACCTCCAAGTGAAGCATACATACTTCATACATTTCACAGCAGTTACTTCTCTTTGCTGTTTTACTTTGACAATAATAGTTTATTTGTTTCCTTGTTCTCAAGTAACAAACAGGGGTCTCTTGATTATTTGGAAGTTCAGCAAACAAATCCAGTGGGTTCCTGCCTCTTGTCCAACCCCTGACTTCATCTGCATTTTAAAATTGTTATATTGCAGAGGTTAAGGGGTACCACGCTTCCAGAAGTCCTCCAGCTCATAATGTAGTCAGTGTTTCTGAATTTGTTCTTCAGACAGGGTGTACAAACTGGTAGACCAGGCGTTGGGAGATGTCTGGTTTCCTGATGATCCCTTTCTTATAATATTGTCGGATGGAGCGACTCAGCTTGTCATAGTTCATAGCAGGCCGGTTTTTCCGGATTCCCCATAAACGAGCCACCTGGGCGGAATCTTCGATCTTGAATATACCTAGAAAGTAAATATGAGAAGCAGCACGGCCAATTAAAGCATTTGTTTTCACCCAAATCTAATTACAATCTAACCGTAATCAACTCCCAGGCACTGTAACAATATTTTGAACCGGAAGAGTGTCTAATTGAAAATATAGTTTGTTTAACAGACAGCCATTAACATCAGGCTGTAGTAAAGGAAGCAAAACTCTGTTGGTGTGGTTGAGAGACCCACGTCTTTTGGCACCTACCCCCCTGGAGGATTTCTGCCCCAGCTGGTCATTATAAGAACTTGAATCTAAGAGCTTGACAGGATTCCATTTTGAGCTCCTTATGACATGTAAGCAGGATATAAAAGAATCACTAATTAATAAATATTATTATTGTCAGCCCCATACCTCTCTAACTCTGGCTCCAACTGCCACATCAGATGTTGGTCAGAGACAGATCTTCTAGCTGAATTTGCATATTTCCTCCTCTCTCCCAATCTATTTTTCTTTAGTGTCATATCTGTTTAAGCCCAAGTACAGGGCTGTCTTTTTCAGTGATCTGTGAGTGGTATTGGAGGGCTTTTTAGCTGAAGCATGGGCTTCAAAAAAATACTTTTAAATAAATAAATAAGCAGCAGCAGAAAAGAAGTTTTCAATGACCTCATAAGCACCAAATACTGCAAGAGAGCTTCATAGGAATAGGTCACATATCACTTAGATATGGAGAGGCACAATAGTAACCTTACATGAGCAATGGAGGTCAGAGTTTTCACACCAATGGTTTAATATGCCTGGACATTAGAACTACCACCATAAAAATATCTCTGAGTTTATGATTGCATGAATGAAACCTGGAGATGAAGGCCTATGCCCCTAAGTCAGGAGGTGGCACTGAAATTTCAAGAAGGAATCAACAACACTCACCTTTTTCCTTATTAAGCCAGCGAATGAAGCGTCCATAGTTATGGGGTTTCAGAAGAAGCTCTTTCAGAAACTGCCACAGGTGAATGGGTTGGCCAGAGCAGGATGAGTCCACCTCACTGTCTGTCCAGTTCTCTTCACTTCCTATAGCAAGAGAGAACCAGACCCAGTTAATGATCAGAAAACCCAAATTACCATGGCCAGGAGAAGGCAGATTAGATTGCTACAATGCACTTTGCACAGGGCTGCCTTTGAGAAACGTACAGCAATTTCACCCAGTAGAGAATGTGGCACTTAGGCCTGTGACTGGGGCTAATGATTGGGAGCAAGTGACTCCTTTTGCAAGAGCTACACTGGCTTCCTGTTTATTTCCATAATGAATTCAAAATGCTGATTGATACATTTAAAGCACTAAATGGCTTAGAATGAAGCTGTCCAAATGATCACCTCCTTCCATATGGGCCTGTTTGCCCATAAATACGCACAGTAAAGGCTCTGCTTTCCATCCTACTAACATCTCAGCTACATTTAGCCAAGATACAAGAGAGAGCCTTCTCTGTTGTTGCACTGTTGGAAGATTCAGGACAGATTTTTAAAAGTATTTATTCACACAGCGCATAGTTAAACTATTTGACTTTTAGAAGACATCTAAAGGCAGCCCTGCAGAGGGAAGTTTTAATGTTTGATGTCTTACTGTGTTTTAATTCATTGGAAGCCACCCAGAATGACTGGGGTAACCCAGTTAGATGGGCGGCATATCAATCAGTCAGTCAGTCAGTCAGTCAGTCAGTCAGTCAATCAATCAATCAATCTCACTCCCACAGGAGGCAGTGATGGCCACTAACTTGGAAGGCTTTGAAATAGGATTAGATAAATTTATAGAGGGGGCGGTTATTGATGGCTACAAGCCATGATGGCTAGGCTCTGCCTCTATAGTTGGAGGCAACAATGCTTCTGAATATAGTCAAACTTCGGTTTTCGAATGTCTCAGCTGCTGAACATTTTGGAAGCCAAACGCCGAAAACCTGGAAGCGAATATTTTCGTTTCCGAATGTGCCTCAGAAGTCAAACTGTTTCTGAGGTGTGTTTCTCAATTTTCCCCATTGAACTTTCTGACAGCCCTTTGGATCCTCAGTTTTTGAACGTTTCAGAAATAGAACGGACTTCCAGAATGGATTACGTTTGAAAATCGAGGTTCCACTATACCAGTTGCTTCTGAAACTACAGAAAGGGAGAGGGCTCTTGTGCTTGAATCTAGCTTGCTGGTTTCCCACAGACATCTGATCAGTCACTGTGAGAACAGGATGCTGAACTAAAGGGCCACTGGCTTGATCCAGCAGGCTCTTCTTACATCTATCTAGACTGTAGAACAGCCTTCCCTTCCTGGTGCCCTCTGGATACTTTGGCCTACAAGTCCCATCAGCTCCAGTCACCTGTTTGTAAGCTGCCTTGAGCATTTTCGTGGAAAGGCGGGGTACAACTATTTTAATTCTAATTTTAAAAACCACCCCAAAAGAATGGAGGTATACATTTCCTCTTTTTGCCCAACAGCAAGAAGACAACACAATAAGCAGAACACAAACTGGCATCTGCTACAAGTCATACTGCAATTCATTTGTACAGTGGCTAAAAACACCACTTGGTTTCCTGAACCTCTTCATCTGCACCCCAATCACTTCCCAGCTGTTTCTACTCTCCTCCCCACACCATTCATTCATTCATTCGTTCATTTACTGCTTGCTTTGGTTACATGCAGAAAGGGTGAGCTCACCACAGTAATGCATCTCTCCAGGGGCAGCTTTCTCCTTCATCCAGGCAGCTGGGAAACAAACACAAATGTCACAGGAGGGTCCAGTGGTCTGCCATTGCACTCTGATGGGCCCCCTTTTCCCACACCTGAGGATCTCAAGGAAAGCACTTGCTCATAGATTTGGAAGGAAGGAAAACCCCAGTTGGAAGGAAGGAAAACCCCAGAAATAATTGAACCAAAAGACTTGCTGTTCCATCAGGCTGAATGCTGGCACAATTTCAGTGAACGTGGCCATAAGCCAATGGTATGAAAAGTTCCATCAACATAAATTATTTCCCTTTCCCTGTAAAGGCAGCATTGGTTTGCAGGAATGAATTCCCAGGCAGCAATAGGAGATTGCTAAGAGTAAAAAAAAAAGTTCTGCTTTTTAGCTGCAATATATATATTTTTTCCAGCTCAGTCTCTAGATACCTGACTTCCAGATGTCCAGATGAGCATGCAGGACATCCCCACATGCTGGGGATCGCTGACGGAACTGCTCCTCAGACATGGCACACAGGTCCTTCCCACCCAGATCCTGGAATGATTTCCCAATCTGGGGGAGCCTGTATTGGTGTTCTGTCCACAAGATCCACTTCTGGACATTCCCTGGACTCCAATCTGCTGGGTCTATAAGAGAAACAAAGAGATATATTCCCCCCAAAAAACACAACAGTTTGTATTGTCTTAAGTATAATTCATCTACAAAGAAAATGCACAAAGCATTCTTGATGACCAGGATTAGCAGAGGAGAACTTCCCCCATGTTTTGGTTTGTCCACAACTCTCAAAGGTATATGTGTCAGGAAACTCCCCATGCTTGAAATGAAATTTATTCCAGACCTAACACATTTTGGAGCAAATCCTTCCTGTGGGACACTACTAATGTGCCAATGACATAATAAGGAATTGAACCATGAGAATAAAATGTAAACACTTTCTCCGTGTCTCACACTGAAAGAATATGAAACAAAATTATCATTCTGCTTTTTTTAAATAAAAAAATCTACAAAAGCTCAAATTGCCTCATTTGCCAATGCATAGTGACAGAGAGTTCTTTATCCCCTGCCTTCTGCTACAACTTTTGCTGTATGGTTTTTAAAAATCTCCAGCCAATACCTCTGATGCCAGTGTGTGATCTCCAAGCTGCCACTTTCATGGTATAGCATTTGTTTATATCAGACAGAAACCCAGGCTATGTACACAGATGACTGTGCTTCCACTACCGGTTTGGGAAATTGCATACACGTGTTAGCCACAGTCAATATCTATCCTGTTGCTTCTTACGAAACATTGCATTTTGATGCATTTTCTCCTAAACCGCCTTTAATTCAAATTGAGAAAAAGAACGGAAGTTCAAGATACAGGTAGGTAGCCATGTTGGTCTGCTGTAGTCGAAACAAAATAAAAAAAATCCTTCCAGTAGCACCTTAGAGACCAACTAAGTTTGTTACTGATATGAGCTTTTGTGTGCATGCACACTTCTTCAGATACACTGAAACAGAAGTCCTAGACAATTCAAGAGCCACTGGGATGGTAGAAGTAAAAAAATAATCAGTACTGATAATTGTAATGGTGCATTCATGTCATAATGTGTGCTACCAGCTGTGAAGTCTTTCCTTATAGCTCCAAGACAGCAGAAAACAAAATCAAATAAGTCTTCTGCAAGTCACTCAGGAGTTCTATGTGGGTGAACAACAATGCTAATTCCAGGGCAAGTGGGGAAGGTAGCAAGACACTGGTGCCTAGAATAGAACACTTAGCAGATATAGGGCACAATATTCTGATAAACATTCTCATATCCATTCCCAGAGACTTCTCTGATCCTCCTCATACGGAGGGAGGGGACATTGACGAATCAAGGGAAAGGGAAAGGAAGGAATGCTGCTGCATAATAAGCCTGTGGCTTGATAAGGTCTCGAAGGGCTTATCCCGAATGGTTAATGAATACAAACCCCATCCTGCTTCATATTTTTCCAGTTGACAGCACCCATTTCAGGAGACACAAAACTGTTGGACCAGCCCAGTATCTTCCCCCTTGGCCCCTGCCGTTTGAGTATGTAGAGCTTCACAGTGTGAAACTCCATTCCCCTCTGCAGCTAACTGTAATCAGAAGCATGGGTTATTCCCTGTTCTTTCCCTTTTAAAAAAACAAACCACAGAATCGAATGGGAAATGTGACACTGAATATTTTGCAGAATTTGGGGGGTTTGGGTGACAGAATATTTTAGATCACAAATTCTTAGTCTTTAGAATTTGACATCCGATGTCAAGGAGATAAAGAAGTGCACAACTTTTAGAAGACATGTGAAGGCAGTCCATTATTGGGAAGTTTTTTTAATATTTGACGCTTTTTATGTGCTGGAAGCTGCCCAGAGTGGCTGAGGAAGCCCAGGCAGATGGGTGGGGTGTTATTATTAATGGGATTTGCAACCACTGTATTCTGTTCTCTGTTTCATAGGCTAAAGGTCAACATTTGGCACTACAGAAGTCAATAGAGTTTTCACAGATTTCAGTTGGCTTTAGATGCTTGAGATAAACCAATGATTAAACAGAGCGGGCCCCGCATAGGCCATTCTACACAATATCACATTTAGAATGCTTTCAGGCCCCCTTGTTACAGAGGTTGAAAGCAAGGAGGTAAGAAATCAGAGGCAGATTTAGGGAAGTGCGGCTGGTGCAACCGCAGGGGGCGCTGCAACTATGAAGTAAACCAGAAGGCAAGAGGCAGGGGGAGGGCACCAGTGAAATTTGAGACCCCCAAGGTCTGCCACTGAGGCAAGGGCCTATTCAATACATTCTCATGCCAACCCCAATGCAGTTTTGACTCATGCCCATTGTGGCAACTCTATTCAATAGCCACATTGCACCATCAGCATATATGGTATCTTTCACAGGCAACATAAGCAGTGGCCTGAGACTAGCATGGGACCCGCCAATGTTAGGCAAGCAATATTGACTTCTGCCTACAAATTTGCATCATTGCATGGAAATTAACTCAGCAGCAGCAGCCACACCATTGCCCTCTGCTGCATAAATATTTCACCCTCGGTGGGCTAATAGGCCTTCCTAGATAGGCCTCCCAAGCAGTAAAAGAAGAGGATGCTCTAGGCACTCACCTGCAGCGATATTGAGAAGCTTGCAAGCTGTTTCAATGTCCTTGAGCACTTCACCCACCACCATACTCTGCACTTGCTCCAGGGAGTGTTCTTCCAGGTGAAGACTGGCTTGGTAGTCCATATCAGGTGTAAGGCTCAAACCTTGACTGTCAATGATAGGGCACTGCTCAGGTTCTTTAGGTACTTCTGCCCTGCCGCCTTGGCTGCTGGGCTGCTGGCTTTCGGCCAGACCCTTTGGAACCCAGTTGCTGTCGTCTGGGTAGAGCATATCAAAGTACTGCAAGCAGAAGGTGGGTAGGGTTTGCTCGGGTGTGGCAGGAGGGCTAGGACTGTCAAGGGACCTCCAGCTCTGGCTGTCAGGGTCTTGGGCAACAGGCAGTTTCTCGAGACCAGAATACAGCAAAGGATCTTGAAGGGTGACCCGGCTGCGCGGCAGAGCAGTCAAACCTTGGTCAGCACTGCCCATCACTCTGCACAGGTTTGTCTCCAGATCTGTCATCAAAGAAAGGGAGAAGGAAGGGGGGGGCACATAAACCCACACACCAGTTAGAAGGGATGGTTTGATAGTAATTTCTGCATTTCTGCCCAGTGATCAGGCACAATGGAGGAGAGCTAAGCCTGTTAACAGGAAAGAAACCACCAAAGAGTCACTCTGTGGCCAAAGAGACCTCTAGATGAAAATAGGTTAAATAGCTCTTCATGAGCCCAGGCAACTTCTCTTCTGGGTCATTTGGCAATAAGAGGGCAGGGGAAGGAATCCTGTCAGTAAGGGCAAAGGGATAATCAAATGCAGAAGAGAGAGTTGCCCATGGTCAGGATCAGATAATATCTTTATGGTGAGCAACAGCAAATCTCTTTCTACTTTCCTGAGGGTGAGAAAGGAGGAGGGACCAAAACCTTTAACATGCCGAACCCATCAAAGGGAACTTGTCAACACACAACCCAAAAAAATCACAGATGGGCTCAAACCACATTCAGTGCTGAAGTTTGAAAGTTCAGTCTGGTGTTTTATTTTGTTTTTTGGTATGCTAAACTTGCGTCTGTATTCCTGTTTGTCATCCTTAGTCTGCACGTTGCCTCACAAAGGAGCACCTTGGTTGCAGAGCCAGGTTATTTCTATGTATTCAGATCTACTCCAATGGTGAGACTTCCTTACAGTTTTGTTTGTTTGTTTGCTTGCTTGCTTGTTTGTTTATTTCATAAAATTTATAGACTGCTTGATTGTTAAGAAGAAAAAGCCCTCAAAGCAGTTTACAAAGGATAAAACAGTAAAATCAAGAAACAATTGCAATCCTACTTTAAAACATACAAAAAATTAAAGAACTAAAACAGATCAAAATTACCTCAACTTTCTAAGAATCTCAATAGTTTATTCACTGGTGTGTGTGTTTAAAAGAGAAATCAGATATAATCACATAAAATGCTATTGACACAGGGGCTGGGGCATGCCCATGTTACTCTGTGAACCTTTACATGTTTAGGGGTCAAAACAAAATCTGTGGTGTCTATTTCACCCAGATGAAGGGAAACTCCTGCTTATGTGAATATTTACACATCTTAAATTGCCCAGCAACTAGAACTGTGGCTAAACTAACATTTTAAAATGCCATTGGGGTGTAATGCACAGCTGACAGCCCTGCAAGCAAAGGCTGGATGCTCACATGGTACAGAGACTAGCATCTCATACTGTCTTCTTCTGGCCAGGTATTCTTTCTGCAGTTTTAATGTCAGAATGAAATGGAAGGTCAGTATGTCAGGGGAGGTCCTCAAACAGCTACTTTTGAACTATTGTTTTCAGAAAATTCTATCTATCCCAGGTGAGATATCAGAATTAAGCCCATTTGGATTATTTGAGAATCATTATTTGTTTGCACTGCTATGCAGACAACAACTTGCTTGCTCTCTGTGATATGCTGCTTTTCCTTCTAAGATTAAAGGGCCCAGGTATGGACCACACACAGTCCAGTTCTCAATAGCTTCTCTCCTATTCCCTTCATAAAGCATAGTGAGATATTGAAACATTCTGTTTTCTTTTTAAAAATCACTCCAGTCAGCCACACTCAAGCAGAAGTGTACATAAAAGAAGAGCACTTCTTTGTAGTGTTAAGTTACTGGACACATGTGTGCATGCAGAGATAACATCAAGGCTGAGGGGTATTTATGTGCAGGAGTTAATTGGACATCAGTGGGGTATCCAAAATGTATACAAATGTAATAGAAAAGACACTGTAAAGGCAACACACCTTGATAAAAGATTGTGGCTGTTGAGTGTGAACTCACACATTTGCCCTAGTTTGTTGCAATGTCTTCTTGTGCAGAGCAAAAACTAGGGTCAAATCCATACCATACATTTAAAGCACTCTTATACCACTTTAACAGTCAAGGCTTTCCCCCAAGGAATCCTGGGAACTGGTTTGCAAACGGTACAGGTCTACCACAGGTCCCCTAACAACTCTCAGTGACTTCTTGGGAGGTTTGGCTTTTTGAAGGCATTTTCCATCAAACTGGGAATAGGTGAGGTGGTATGAATCGAATGCATCATGCCATCAGAGCTTCCCCACCAGATTTTATTAATTCTCCACTTGCTGTGAAAAGTAGATTTGATTTAAAAACAAAAACAAAACACCTGCTTGTTACAGAAAATAATGTTTTGGTATCTTATCAAGTATCAGGCAGGTAAGTTGAACACATTCAGAAGGCCAGAGTGGATGCACATAGGAGAACCTAGAGTTTGACTTTGAACCTAAACACACCTACCTGAAACAGGTTATTTATTTGCAAATAAACATGCACTAAGTTCCAAGAATCAAGGTTTTGGTGAGACAGCAGAATGGGCACCCCCACAGCCTCAGACATGGCTTAACAATGCTTATGAAGGTGGGCACAGGCAAATGTCATAGAAATATTAGAAGTACAGATCTGAGACTAGCTAAATGAACCAGAATCTTATATAAAGATGGCAGCAGAGATAATGGAACCCAAATCTCTTAAATCTCAGTCACTGCAGTATCCACATTTGGCCTGGTACAATCTCCCTCAAAGAACTGTCCTATACACAACTTCGTCATGAACCCAGGATGACATCTGATGGGTTATTTATTCACAAACATTTCAGCCCTGAAATCATGATCTGAATGAACTTTCTTTTATTTTAATCTGAGCTTTGAAACATCGCACCCATCTGTCTTTGGTACAGAGAGGCCTGGCCTCAACAGAGAAAGGGATGAGCCTTCTGAATTTCCATGGCAACCTTGGGAACTGTCACAAACCAAACAGAAAGACTGGCTGTTCCCTGAGGCTTTAAAGGTGGGAGGGAAAAGAATCACTCTGAAATGAGAGTGTGGTTAAAAGGCTGCTGCTGTTGAGGCTAGGATATCCAAATGTGTCTGGAGTCTATAGCTCACAAGGCCTCTTCTTTTTATTGGTATCACCACACGACCCTCCCCGTCCTCAAATTGTACTATACTCTCTGTCAAGGAACTCTAGAATTTTCATGTGGCATTTCAGAAATCGTGACTCAGTGCTAGTAAGAAGCACAGCAATGACCAAACCCAATCATACAGCAATGACCCTAACAAAAGTAGCATACATTTATTTTATTTGTTTGTATTCAAGCCAACAATGTGTATACAGTGGTACCTCGGGTTACATACGCTTCAGGTTACAGACTCCGCTAACCCAGAAATATTACCTCGGGTTAATAACTTTGCTTCAGGATGAGAACAGAAATTGTGCTCCGGCAGTGCAGTGGCAGCAGGAGGCCCCATTAGCTAAAGTGGTGCTTCAGGTTAAGAACAGTTTCAGGTTAAGAACAGACCTCCAGAAAGAATTAAGTACTTAACCTGAGGTACCACTGTACTGCTTTTAATCTCTGTCATTTCTAGCAGCACACAGGACTGCTAAAAACAAGTAAAACATGAGTTCAAACTATTAATCCACAAATTTTCAACCACCACATGCCAACCAGAAACTATTATCAATTTCATGTCAGCAAAATAAGGATGAATGGCTTTATCATTAGAGAGGTGGGAATATTGGTATGTGGAAGGGCACTGGTTTGTTGCCTTCATGCCATGACTTATTTCAGTATAGCATTTTTGGGCCACCTTTCAGGTTCCTGGGAATCACAGCTCACATTTAAAAACAGCAGCAAAGGAATCTCTCGAGCCTGCTGTAGCCTTCTTTGAGCCAAATAAAGGTGCCCTTTGTGTAAGGGTTTTATTTGCAGAAGTGTTCTGTACAGTACGTTACTATCTTTGCTCACTTCAGTGTGCCAAAAAAATTCATTTCCGTACTGCTGTTTCTAGCAAGTTTCCGCCCGAGGGCTGGACCCATATTTGCTCCCCAACATGAATGCTATATCGTAAATAAGATATAATTAAATGTCACCACTTGCTACAAGCCAGAGACCCATTACTGGCCAATGAAAGACAAGTGGAAGAGGGCATCTTACAGTTTGATTTGTTCTTAAAGCAAACCAGGCATGCAGGTTCCTGCCACTTATCACACAGAGTGGTCCAACATCTCTAATTTACAGCTACAGATATTTCCTAATTATCTCTGGGAGGGATAATTAAATGAAATTAAAAACTCATGTGGATCTGCACAGCTACAGCTAAAGACATGTTACAGATTTAGAAAGTGGGGCACTGGGGAGGTAAAAGGGTTTTCCAGCGGTGACACAAACACATGAACTGTGGAGCTCTTTAAAATAAAAATAATAAATAACTGCAGGAGTTGCTGACCTCCTTTGATCATTATTAAATCCTATCTCTTACATGGCATGTTATAATTGGAAAATTATAATCATAGCTGAAATTAATACCCATAGTTAAAACCAAAAAACCAAAAATAATTTCAAGAAAACTTTAGCATTTGATCATTTTTTTTAAAAAACGGGAATGGTGTTTGTACTAATCAAAGCACAATGTAAAAGGCTGACATTTCAAAAGCCATATCTCTGTCGTAGATCTGTGAAAGTTTGGCTCTTTTTGCAGAAAAAGCAAATAAAAGAACAACTTAACCTAAGCAAAGCAAGCACTCCGTTCCTTCCTTGCACAGGCAGTACAAGTTGGTTTCAACTCAGACTTGCTGGCACAGTGTAATTTCTAATGGGCAGGTAATTCAAACACAGCGCTGACAAATCAGGCACAGATGCTCAAGGGATTGTTCAACTCAAAGACTTCCATTAAGATAGAAGACTGTGACCTTTGGAGAGCTCCCAGTGAAAATACAAACCGCTGACAATATATTTAGCCACATAGGTAGCTGCCTTATACCATTTATACTACATTTAGCCCAGTATTACTACAGTGGTACCTCGCAAGACGAATGCCTCGGAAGACGAAAAACTCGCAAGACGAAAGAGTTTTTCGTTTTTTGAGTTGCTTCGCAAGATGAATTTCCCTATGGGCTTGCTTCAAAAGACGAAAACGTCTTGCAAGTTTGTTTCCTTTTTCTTAAAACCGCTTGAAGAGGTGCAGTTGCGACTT